AGGTTTAACAATATTCATTTCCTAGAAAACCTAAGCACTCTCTTTGAAGGAAAAAGATCCTGCTTCTATCACTACTATCTGACTTTGGGCAAATTATTGAACCTGCCACGGCCTCAATTTCCTCCACAGTAAAAATAGAGTGGGATTAGATGGCTCCAAGGTCCCTTCTCCCTCCAAATCTATGACCCTTTAAACATTAAAAAAAAAACACCACAATTAAAAAGAATAGTCACTTTGCTTTCCCATAGCATTAATTAGTTAATACTTAAACAAAACAATGGTACTTAAAACCTGTTAAATCATTACAGGTGAAAAGTTGAAATTTTAACATAAAAGATGAAAGCTTTCAAAGAGTTTGGTTTGAAAAAAGAGAAATGAGATTTTTAAAAAATTAATTAAAATGTAGTAAATAGCAAGCTCAAAGGCATTTCATAATAAACAAGAAAAAAAGGCAATAAAAAGGTAAAGAAAGAAAAAGTGGTGGTAATTTCAAAGTAGAGCTCCTATGGAGGAATTCCCTAACCTAAGTGACGAAATTGAATCATAGGGAAACTTACATATTTAACAGTATAAATAAGTATGATTTATACCAAACATAGAAGAATAGATCAATATCCAGAAAATAATCAGCATAATAAATCATATTATCAAGAAAATCATTAAAACTTTGTGATCTAGTGGGGATTTCCAGAGGACATCAAGTCCTTTGATCTAGTCCTGAGCTGCTTTTCCCCCCATCCTCATACACTAAATTCCTCCCCTAAACACCTCTTTATCTCTTTTGCATGTACTCACATACAAGTATGCTAGACCTTTGGCACAATGAGAACCTTCTTGAAAGGAAGAACTGTTCACATTTTTTATCTTTGCAACCCTAGTGCAGTGCCTAACACACTTAAGAAGGTAGCTAAAAAATGGTTATTGATTGATAATCTACCTCTTTTTACAGATGAGGAAATTAAAGCCCAGAGAGAAAAATTGCCTAAGGTTACAAAGGGAATAATAGTAAGTGCTGTAATCTGGATTTGAGCCTAGGTCTGCCTCCCTTCTGTACAACAGTCCAGTCTTCTACTCTTATACAACTATTCTATGCTGCTCATCATATGAATAACCACATGAAAGAACTTTGGTCAACTATGGCATAGGCCAAGTCTTTGCTCATGCAATTCCCTCTACCTGGAATGTCAGTGGACAAGCATATATTAAATGCCTAATACATGGCAGGCACTAAGCTAAGCACTGGGGATACAAGTAAAAGCCACAAAAAAAAAAGTCCCTGCCCTCAGGGAGTTTTACATTCTAATGAGGAAGACATCTTTATCTCTAACCATTCTCCCTCCACCTAATTCTTGTCTGACTAAATACTATCTATGCTCAAGGCCCAGTTCCAATGAAAAGTATTCCATGGCAGTTTCCTTAATTTTCTCCTCGTTATCCAGAACTAATGTCTCCATGCTTTCATCTCTGATGACACTTTTACATTTCTCTCCTATTATTTTTTTAGAACTTACTCAACGAGTTCTAACTAAGGTATTAGACGTGGCATATTTTATTTCTTTGTACTAGATAGTAATCTCCTTGTGGTCAGGGTCTAGACAGTCAGCATGGCATGTAGGGATGAAGTGGATGTTCTTAAGTCCTAGTTCTGAAAATGAATAGCTGTGTGACTGAGCAAGTCACTTAAATTCCCAAAAGCTTTAATTTTCTCCCCTGTGAAATTTGGAGTAGTAATACTGGCATTACTTACCTCACAGTGTCGGGAGGAAAAGGTTTCACAAGAACTTATAGTGATCTTAAAATGTGAGTCACATAATTCATCGCCTTATTCCCTTTCAGCACCTAGCAGTGTCTTGCACACAGAAGATGCTCAATGTGACTATTACACAGTAGGACACTGATTCAATTAGAAGGCAAAGAGTTAAATAAAGTTAATCTGTTGGGAATAAATAATTGAATAGAAAAGAATTTGCTGATTCTGCCATAACAATAAGGAAAAAAAAACACAAAAATACAGAACATCAAATCCCCAAGGCAAGGCCAGTGAGTACATGTTATCAGAGGGAAGAGCCTAAAGAGGATTTTTTTTACCCAAGTCTCCAGAACAATCTTTGAGAAAAGCACATTTATCCATAAAGGAGACTGGATAGGGAAGGCAACAGGAAAGCTGAAAAGTTTTCTATGGGATATATGTTAACGTGACCATTTCCATTGCCGTAGGATATGTGTACACTAATTGTGCAGATATGAGTGAAATAACTAAGACTTATTAGAAATGAGGCAAACCATAAGTATGCACAGAAAGGACTAATAGACAGTGAAAAGGAAAAATAATAATAATTGCAATAGCTGCACTTTTTATAATACCTATTATGTGCTAGGCACTGTACATTGCACTTTACAAATATTATCTCATTTGATCCTTACAACTCTTAGCATTAGGTGCTGTTATCCTCATTTTGCAGGTGAGGTCATAGCTGACTTTTCATGAGCCAGACCCCATTTGGGTCTCCGTTTGGGGTTTTCTTGGCAAAAATAGTGCAGTAGTTTGCCATTTCCTTCTCCAGCTCATTTTGCAGATGAGGAAACTGAGGCAAATAGGGTTAAGAGATTTGCCCAGGGACACACTGCTAGGAAGTGTCTGAAGCCAAATTTGAACTCAGTCTTCAGGCCCCGGAATTTTATCTACTGCATACTTAGCTAATGGAACAACTAAATTAGAGAGAGATTACGCAATTTGCCTAAGGACGTTCAGCTAGTAAATTTCTGAGGCCAGATTCAAGGGAGAAAGAGTTTTATTTTCCCCATTGTCTACCAAGCTCAAAAAAAAAATTATCTTCAACCCAGTGTAAGATTGGTTGCAAATGGAGTTTTTCTGAGTAGTACCTGAACTTTTATAACTAATGTTGAGGTTTTTTAAAATTTAGACCCAAAATGTTAGAACTAGAGGGAGACTATGATGATTATCTAATCCTGCTAGTGAATTTTGCAGATGAGGGAACTGCAGTCTGGTACAGTAATCAAATGACCTTTCAGACACAGCTTAGTCTGAAGTAGTGTACTAAAACCTGGCTTTTCTGTATTAAGACTCCCTTCTATAAAATCATATCTAATATCCACTCAGGAAAGTTTTAACAATTACTTGGCATTTGGACTGGGTCTTGAAGGATGGGTAAGATTAAGTCTCAAATTACATGGCTGTAAATCTCACAGGCTGCACTCCAGACTTTCTCTGCCATGCTCCTAGAAACTTCATCCTGAAAGCTCACACTAGCCCTGGAATTCACACATTGGTGGTGCTCTTGCATCCACTCCCAGCACCTCCATTTAAAAATGATGCCCAGGTCAGCCATGTCTTCATTCCTTTCTAGGCTGCACTCTGGTTTTTCTCTACCTTGGCCCCCATTCAGAATACTATCACCTCTTCCCCCATCCTTTTCAGCTTTTTTTTAATGTGGTCTTCCCCTATTAGAAAGTAAGTCCATGGAGGGCATGGATTGTCTTTCTTTCTGCTTGTATTTGTATCTGTGTCTCTTATTGTGCCTAGCACATAGTAAGTGCTTAATAAACCATTGTTGATTTGACTACATCAATCACATAAACAAAAGCTGCCGCCACCAACAATCCTAAATGCCTAATTCTTCCCTGGCCATGCCTAACTTTTAAAAAATGTTAATGAAGTATAATCTCTAAGATACCTTTTTTCTCTGATATTTTTGATTCTCTGATTTACTATATTTTGATATTATACATAGCTGTGCCATGTCCCTAGAGCAGAAAGACATAGGAATGTTGATGAGCTATTGGCCTCACTCCTCTCTTCTTAATACAAGTCTGGTGTTAGGCATCTGGAAGCTGATCTTCTTAAAGACTATCTTTGAAAGAATCAGAGGTTCTCATCTACAAATAGAACATATGAACATAGCCTCAGGAGTCTCAAAAATGAAATGTGGACAATATGATGCTTTTTGTGGAGTAGGGACAGATATTGGGAGATGATAAAGGAAAATAAGGTTTATCTACCATTACGTAGTATACAGTACCTTCTGAAAGAAAATACAACTAATTATAGTTTCTGACAGATAATTAAAGATGCTACTTATTACTTATGTGACCTAAAGTAAATCACTTCCCTATCTATGTGCCTGTTCCCTTATTTATAAAATGAAGGTATGAAAACTTAATGATCTCTAAGAGCATTTTCCATCCCCAATGGTCTATAATCTTAAATTCTTATCCAGCAATCCCATCACTGAACTCATTATACCTATATTCAATTTTATTTTAAAGCAACCATTTCATTAATTTTCCATGCGGAATTAAAAAAAAGTCTTAAATTGGAAAAAAAAGAAAAACAATAATAGACAACAATTGATCTTACACTAAAGCAAAATTGAGAAGACAAAATTGTGATTAAAATTATGTCCTCCTACATTTTTCCTTTAGATATAAATCAATATTATGGCTTTTTGTTGTAAGAGGTCTTCTAATTTCTATTTCAAACAAAATACTTAGGAAATAATTCCCATTTTTCACTCCACAAGTCCTATCAACATCTATGCTATTATTATTCATACTAATTTAAGTAATTTGGTTAATAAATATAGTTACAAATATCAACTGTCTTCAAAATGCTGAGTATTAATAAACCAAAACACTTCTAAAATTTTAAAATATACAACATGACTAACGTGAAAATCTGCTTAATATGAATGTATATGTGGAGCCTATATCAGATTGTACACCATCCTGAGGAGAGGGAAGGGGAGAAAATTGAAAACTCAAAAGTTTATTGGAAGTGAATGTTGAAAACTTAAAATAAATTTAAAAAATAAAAAATAAAATAAAATTTTAAAATAGCATTTGATGCAGTGTGGCAAAGTGGAAAGAGTACTGGTCCTCAAGTCAGAGGACCGGGGTTCACATGCCACCTCTGATAATTTATAACCTGGTGCATAATGTTGCGCAAATCACATAACCTCCCTGGTCTTCAATTTCCTTACCTGTAAAATGAGATAGGGATAGTGAATTAACTGATCTCTGGAGTCCCTTTCACTTCTAGAGTGATGATCCTTAGTTTTTAAGCTGCAATTACAGAAATACAAAATATCAGCGACACCTTTCCAAACCTCTTATTCCAGAACATCATAATTGTCATACTACATGCTACATGTTGTCATGAACATACTAACAGCAGCATTAACTTCCTTAGTTTCTTTAGATTATATAGCAGTGTATCCCTCCCCTCTAGGTCTCTTCTAGACTCCTAATCTTTATTATAAAGATTAGTATAAAGGGGCATCCAGAAGTGCCTGCCCCAAATGTAATGCAACAAGTAAGGTGACCAAGCTTCTGTCCTCTGTAAGGACCAGGATCCATCTGTGGTTGTGAGCAGTCCCAGGCCTCGCAAAATATTCACATTTTTGGAAAGATACGGTAAAGCTCAAGCACAATCAGCAGAGGATGGCATCGAAGGGTCTCAAAAACCAACTGAGTATAGCCAAAGGAACCTGGAGTATTTAGCATTGAAAAGACTTAATGGAGAACATAAGAGATGGCTTCCAATATCTGAAGAGTTGTAATAGTGGCTGCAGATGATAGAACAATGAGTAGAAGTTAAGAGACAACAAGGGAAGATCATTCTAATACTTAGAAGTGTTCAGCAATAAAATGGTGTGAGACTTATGAGCTCCAAACACATCCAAGTAGAAACCGGATGACCTCCTGCCCTCTATTAGCTGCAATTTCCTCATCATAAAATGAGGCAGTTTGACTTTATGATCACCTCTCAGTAAAGCTGAAAGTGACCTAAGAGACGGTTAGTCTACTCCAACCTAATTTTACAGTAGTATAAACTGAGGCCCAGAAAATAGAGTGATTAGCCCAAGGTCATGATCTAAGTTTATGAATCCATGCCAATGTAAGAATTTGTATTGCTTGAATACATATTTGTTATAAGGGTTTGGAGTTTGTTTTATTTTCAGTGGTAGGAAAAAAGAGAAAGTCAATTTTTGTTCATTTAAAAAAGAATGTTAAAAAAAAGAATGTTAAATTAAATAGATTTATGAGCCTATGAACTGAATGAACGGAAAGATGGAAGGATGAACTAATATCAGTCCTTTGTCCTTAAATAAATCTAGCATTTAGCCTTCATTTCTTCAATAATGCAGTTTGCCCACCCAATTGTCAGGCTTTGAAAACAATTTGTCAATATTTTGGTATGCTCCAAAATATTCTTTTTTTTCCCATCTTTTTAAAGTAGCAAATTATTTTTCAGAAGTCACATACCTTAGGTCAGGGGAATCTATGAATTTGGATGGCAATAAATACATAATTATTACTATATAATTGGCTTCCTTTGTATTGCTATATATTTTTTCTGCATTTAAAAGCAGTGTGCTGAGAAGGGGTCCAATAGACTTTAGCAAACTGCCAAAGGAGTCTATAACACACAAAAAGTTAGGAAGCCCTGTACAGTCAATCAGTGAGAACTAAAATCTAGGTCTTCAGACTAATACTAAATTCTTTCCACTAGAGAACTTCCTACTGAGTTCCATGAAATAAAGGATACAGGCCTGAATGAATTTTTTTTTTATTTAAGCATATTAGCTTACAAGTTCATTTTTTCAGTTCCAGGCTTCATGCATCTCTTCAAGAATTGATTGAAAAGCAATACCTCTATACTTCCAAGCAGGTTAAAAAACACCAGAAAAGATCCCAGATATACCAAAATATCCTGAAAAGAACTTTTGTAGTATCAAAATAATAAAACAAAATCAGTTGTCATTACTTGGGGAATGGCTCGATGAATTGTCTTATATGGATGTAATAGAATACTATTGTTCTGTGAGAATCTCCAAATAAGAAATTCAGAGAAATATGAGAAGACTTCAATGATTATGAACTTAGGAAGAAAAAAAAACTATTTTTTCCTTTTCCTTTTGAGGGTAGATCTTGTGGATCTTCTTTTATTGTCCAATAATTGATTCCCCCCCACACACTCCTCCAATGGAGAAGTCTTCAATCCTAGTTTTCCCAAAAAGTTCATTGGCATTCTATGGAATAGAGGCTGGCCAGTTCATTCTTTTCCCTCTAGACACTTGCTTTTACCAAGTTCAGTTCCTTGTCCTTGAACTCACTTCACAGTGTCAATTCTAACAAGAATCTTTTGTCTGACAAACTAGCCACTCTACACTACATATGGTACTACTCCCTTTACACAAACTTCTGATGATCTGAACACACTAGTTAGTCATTGAAATTTCCTCCTCATCAAATTCTTAACCAGCCATATCATCAACAACATCTGGAATTAATTTGACCAGAATTTAATCACTCTGACTCTCAGCGGTGGAATTTTTCCCCTTCAATATTTTTCAATGAAGATGACCATAAATTAGCCAGAAATCTAGAATATTTATCACTTGAAAAATTAAAGAAAATATTGTATTTTAATAGACCATTCCTAAGATCCAGTATTTTTAAAACTATCAAATATTATCAAGACTTAAGATAAACCAAGACTCAGATTTTTCTGTCTTCATAAATATAAATGTCACTTAATATAATTCAAGTTCAAGAAATCCACACTCCTGCCCCTGAGTGGTATTTTCTGAAAATAGTGGGTCAGAATTAGATGGAAAATGCTTCAATTCACTTGTCAGACTTTCTCTGGGTCTCAGTTTCCTCATCTGAAAAAAAATGGGGTTGAACTAGATTTTTAAGATACCTGAAATCCTAAATTTTATAAAACAAATTACCAACTAAAGGGGCAATCATTCCTTACAAATTATATCCTTTCTATTTAACTTGTGTGTCTTCAATTCAATAAACATTTAAGTATCTGCTGTGTTTAAAGCCTGTTCTGAAGAAAATACAAAGTTTCTATAAAATAAGATTACTAACTATGGACCTTAAAATTTACAAGAGAGATATAAGAAATGAGATATGTTCAAATATAAAAAATTAAAAGAATCTGTTATATGATATGTTGATATAATTTCCCAACAGTAAACTCCAAGAGTATTTAATTCATAGTTTGCCATGAAACATCACTCACTGTAAGCAGATCCTCTGTTCTACCTTACAGATTTTTATTCATTCAGACTATTTTACTCAATTGTTACTATTTGTAATAGGACTATATCTATGTGATCAGTCTTTTATTTCTAGCCAACATTGAAAATACAAGAAATTGGCTTGGAAATGTCTTCTAGTGTCCATCTCAAAATTCTATGCCATTTTTCCTTGGCACCCTTATCCCTGTGATTACACTTCCTTCCTTAGCTCAACTCACAATTTATCCTCTCAGTGTATAAATGCTGGCCCAAATGGAATGCTAATTTATACTAAGGAACAAATGACTGATGTCTGTCCCAAAGGGATCTGCATTTGAACAAGAATTAAAGCCTTAAGATGAAGAAATAAAGCTCCTACAATTATTATTTCGGTCTCCAAAGAACATGAGGAGGTGATTTTTAGGAGTCAGAAATGTTCCTTTGTAGCCATAGTAAATCAACACCCTTTCTCTTCTAGAAATGCCAGCCTCTTCAACACGCAGAGAGGGAACTTTTCCATCATGCCCACTGCAGCAAATCATCTTTTCAGGGTATCTAAGTCAGCTCCATGAAATCTCCCCCCTCACATAGGGTTCCATCTATCTTTCTTCACACCTTTCCCAGAGGGGGGAAAATACACGTTTGTTTTTAGTTGTCTTTTGTATTGGGCAATTCTTTCTCGTAAAGACAAAGTGTCACAGATTTACACAAGGATGTGTTTATATATCCCTTTTTATTATGAATACAGTGGATTGGTACTTTGTGTTTGAATTACAAAGATTTAAGAGCTGCATCACTTCAGATCTGAGTTTCTACACACTAAGGAAATGAGTTATCTATTTGTTGTTGACTCATTTCAGTCGAGTCTGATGACCCCTTTTGGAGTCTTCTTGGCAGACACTGCAGTGGTTTGCCATTTCCTTCTGCAAGTCATTTTACAGATGAGAGAACTGAGGTAAACAGGGTAACACAGCTAGTAAGTGTCTAAAGCTAAATTTGAACTTAGGTCTTCCTGACTCCAAGCCCAGTGCTCTACCCACTGTGTCACCGAACTGCCCTATTTGTCTATAATTATACCTATATTTAGAAAGAGACAGAGACAGAGAGACTGAAAAGAGAGAAGTCAGGGGACGAAGTAGGAGAAGGGAAGGGGAAGAAAGAAGGGGAACAAGAGAGGTAAAAATGGGAAGTCCCTCCAAAATTAGATTTTGAATGAGGATTCAGGAGATTATCAAAGAATGTCAAGGCCTTCCTATCCTTAAATAAGGACATTGTGTTGAAATGACCTTTAATATTCTTTTCAGTTTTAAAGATTTTACTAGTGTAGGATTCTCTATAGCCCATATCCCTTCTCCAAAGCAGGTTACTTACCATTACATTTGAGAGGCATTGTGTGTACTATTGTTAAGGCTTTTATAAAGGAAACTGTACAACCTCACTCTCTTGGGGGAAAATGATCCACATCATAAAAACAAAAAACAAACAAAAAGGCCTAAAATCTTCCTTGTATTTAATGTATATTATTTTCAACTATAATGGCCCCATATTTATTTTTTGATTTACAATATTACTGATTCAATAACCTTCAAATAATCAGAGAACTTTTGAGATCTAGCAGTGACTTTAAAAAGCCTTCTGATTTTACAGATGAGGAAACTGAGATTCAGAGATATCAGGTATAGTGAGTAGAACACCACTAGATTGGAAGTCAGGTGACCCAGAACTAGGCTCTAATATTTTGTTTGTAACCTTGATTGACTAAGTTACTTCTCTTTGATATTGTTTCCTCCTCTGTTTCTAAAGGTCCACTCAGCTCTAACTTTCTGATATCATGAAATAACTTTAGCTAGTGTCACTGAGGTCTCCTTTTAAACTCTGGAGCTCCAAACTGGATATGGTATTCTAGAAAGAGTCTGATCAATTCAAGTCAAGATAAAAAGGTTACAATGAAGGTTCCTCTTCCTCCCACAGTATGAAAAATTAAAATCTTGCTTCAATATGCTGTCTATGTATAGTAAGCCCTCACAAAGTATGCATTTAATGAATTCTCCATTCAAAACTATGCAGAAAGCAGCATTCAATGCTAAGATGGGAAAGTGACTTCAAAAGTGGATATAACATCTGTTGTTTTAAAGTAGCTTGTATAAGAGAATGTACTGCCACAGATAGTCTTAAGAACTGTTTTTAAAAAAGCACAATAGTCACTTTTACTGATAAAAACTACAATTTTTTAATGTAAATCATAAATTGGTTGCCCTCAGATGATGCTCTAAAAGATAAGAACGAGGTCCGAATCTCTGACTAATCAGTTACTTTTTTGAGGGTTTTTTTTAAAAAGTCTCTCTTCAGCGGAATTAAAATTAATTGCAAGGACTAAATCCTGGTCCCAGAAAACAGATAATGAAACACTTTGCTGAGGGACTTTGGGTGCAGAATGTTGTATATTCAGTCAGAGGGCACTTTATTGATTTTTCTTAAAGTTTTCTTTGTTAAAAGGAAAGGTTCTATGGGAACATGGGAGAGGCATATCAGAAGTGTAATAAACAAGTTATCAATAAAACTTTAATCAATTAAAAATATTTTAAAAGAATTCATCTTACTGTTTATGCATTCATGAAATTAACCATCATCTATTTAAAGTTCTGTTGAGTCAAAAGATTTCTCTGCAAACTTCAATGCAACCAAATTTTGATTTGAGAAGTCAATTGTACAGTCTTACATCACTTGTTTTTCATTTACTTTCGAAAATTAAATTTAGCTTTTTCTCTTTTCCCCTATAGTGCTTTTTATGTTTTGATTTCACAGGCGGGAGGGCAAGCATGCATGCGCGCGCGCGCGCACACACACACACACGCACACTCACTCTCTCTCTCTCTCTCTCTCTCTCTCTCTCTCTCTCTCTCTCTCTCTCTCTCTCTCTCTCTGCTGGTTTTCCAAATGAACAGTCTTTAAAATCTATAAATTTAACAGGGACTAAACAGATACCTTGCACTGAAGTTTTAATTATTAAAGATACACATAGCTGTGAAAGCCTCCTATTTTCCTATACAGTGTCATCATTAACTTGGAAGTTTATAAAATAATAAGCATGAGCTCAGAACTACCACCAATTTCTGACACCAACTTCTAAAACCCACCTTTAGGATCAGAAAATTAAAGATTTGACTATTAAAAAAAGGGGGTGGGAGTGTTTTCCCCAAGTTAAATTCACATATGTATTGTTTTAAAGGGACAATAACAACTTCCAGCCCTGAAATAACAATTACCTGCACAATAAAAGTTGATTAAAGAAAAGGCTTCATTGTACAAATTAAGTAGTTCCTCTTCGCTTAGGGTCCTGTTAACCCACGATAAAAGGATTTGACAGCAAAATGGCTCAACATCCTTCCACAACCCAGGGAAAGAATGGCTCTCCCAGCCTAAACTCACTAACCTGCGCAATTGCACCACCCCCACTGAGCCCAATCTCACCCCCAGGGCTTTGCTAGGTTTCCTCTAAAACTTTTAGTGGAAAGCTTCCCTCATGGAACTTTTGTCCTTTAGCTAGTTCCCTGGACACTGATTCCGTTACTGAAAATACCACCCAGCAACTCGCTCCTGAAGCCACAAACTACAAAAATCAAGTAAGAAGTTGGTTAATTGTAGGCAGCCCGTTTTCCCCAGTGTCCTAATTCCCTGCTCAGGGGAACTACAACCTCCTTCCTGCTTGCTCTCCTATGCATTCTTTTTGAAAAGAAAAGACAAGACCAATGGGGGCAGCGGTATCTTAAATCAACAATATGTATGCACATGGAGGTTAACATGGAAATGTAGAGGGTTCTCCCAAATTTCCCCCTTTTAAAAAAGTATTTACCATCTCTGCATTTCAAAGCTGGGGTAGAGAGAAGAGAGAACTATTTCCCAAAAGCCGAGTTTATTTTAGGGTTAAGGTCTTGGGGTTCCAGAATTTCTGCTCTGAATAACATTTTAAGGCACTCAGAAGCCCTTGCATAAACTTGCAGGGAGACTACAGTATCATCATTACTGCTTTCTAGGACTCCTTCACTTAGGTCCTAGTCCAGACTCACCCGTTCCCAAGCTCCCTAGCATCCTCAGACACCCTAGCTCTGCTACTTCCTTGCAGACCAGACCCACTTTGAAGGTGGGGCTCTGCTCTCACTTAGTCCTGACTTTTCAAGCATAAATGTGCTCTACTCTCTGGCTGCCTCCCTCCATAGCTCTCCAGCCCAGCACCCAGCCTTCTAAATAGCCCCAGCTGCATCCCCACACAGCTTGGGAGATGCTGACATAAGGATCCCCATTTACTGACAACACTGTTCTTAGTCTGGAAGAAGGACCTCATGCTGTAGACAAGTTGGCTGGAAGGGGGGAAAAAATCTTACCTCAAAGACCCTCTTTGTCCTCTCCCTGGGGTTACCACCTCTCAGGGCTTGACCTGCAGTCGGGTTTTCAAGAATAATCTCCCGGCTGTGGGTTAAACCAATAATTCTTCGGGTTAGAGCTAGAGTTGAAGGGGTGGGGGGAATCCTTGAAAGCCCGGAGTTCCTAAAGCCAAGTTGGAGGAGTAGTACCCCTTACATCCTCCCGCCCTGCAAGAGTCCACTTCTCCGTGTCTTAATCGTTGCTGAGAAGAGAAAAAGGAGGTCCCTGAGAGAGGGGCAAATCATCAGGTTCAAACCAGGGTTTGACCGTGAAAAGGGGTCTTGGGAGTGCAGGGGAGGGAGTAGGTGAAGGAAAAAGGTGGTGAAGCCACGGGAAAGTAGGACCCACACTGAAATGTTTTATCACGCATCCCCAAACTAGTGCAGTGGGGATGGAGTAGGCCAATCCCTGTTACCGAGTGGGTGAATATTGTGTTGTGACTACCATCCTGGGGGCACCTTTTGTAGAAGACACATTGGAACTAGTTAGAGTCAAGGAATAATGAAGAACCCCAGAACTTTGGATCAGGATGAGGGATATGCAGGGCAGCTCCTCTGAAAGTGTGAGGGTTCGGGGAATCAAAGAGGTGGGATAGTGAGTGTAAAGAGCACTGGATTTGAAATCAAACGAAGTGGATTCAAATTCCAGGTAACTACCTGTGTGCACTTGAGTAAATCACTTAACTATTCTGAGACTGTTTTCTTCATAAAAGGAGGGGGTTCAGGGCTGGATCAAATGATCTCTAAATCCAATGAACTCAATTCTGGCCTTTTCTCCTCCTGCCCATTCAGCAACCACTGGGAAATAAGCGTATGACCAACACTGTTGGTTCCTAGGAAATTTTCATAACACTGTCCTCCAATGAGATGGAAAGAAGAGCCCAGTTTGTCAATCTGTAAAAGCCAGTACCTACTTACCCAATGTCCACAGTTTTTATCCTCCCCCACAAGTCGAAACAACTGGGGCTGTTTGCCGACTTCATGCCCAGGTTTGTTATTTGAGCTTCCCAATGAAATCCTAACTAGTCCTATTTCTAAATTTTGTGCCACCTCACAATGAAAACCTGTCTGTTTGTCAAGTCTGGACTGGTCTGGTGGTGGTGACATTAACAGAACCCCCCCATCCTCTTACCTGCCATCCTTGCACTCAATCCAACAATAACACCCCTCCTTTTGTGGCTGCCTTTCACCAGTCCCCTATTTCTCTCATCCCATCTTTAGAAAAGGGGAACATTAGTTTTTTTTAGTCCCTTGTAGAGATAGGTTTGAAGGCAGGGAAGGCACATGTAGTAGGCCCCTTGGAGATCATCTAGACCAATGCTCTGGTTTTTAGAACTGAGGTACAGAGACAATAGGTGACTTGTTCACACACCCAAATTAGTGACAGAGGCAGAGCTAAAACTTAAGTATTTCTCTCCACTCGGTGCTCTCTCCACTGTACAAAGGCCCCTAAGCTTCTCTTTAATGCCCACCCTTCCACCCTCCCCTGATTCCCCTAGGGTGAATGCCTTACTCTCAGACGGAAGACTGGGGCTGGAAGAAGCCAGCAGCAGTTAGCAGTTTGCTTTTTAGCAAAGAGGTGCTTCTCTATCTTCTTCCCCTCCCCTCTTCTTCCTTCCTGGCTAAATAGGATTAATCCAACTTTCTACCAACCCCATCCCCCAGCTCTGCTTCTCTCCTCCTAGCTAAGCCCATAATGCCCCTCTTTCCCTCTTCACCTTCCACTTCCCCTAACCCATACACTTTTTAAAATCTTCTCTGTAGTTCCTTTCCTCCTCAATTTTTTTTCTCCACTCCTACATGGGATATCCACAGTCAGCTGAGATCAACCAGCCGTGATTACAACTGAGTGATATGCTCTCTGTGAGACATACCAGAGTCAAAAGTAAGGAAGAGAAAGCTTTTCAAGAGACATCAACTGCTGGTCTAATGTCAGGGAAGAGGAAAGTGTGAATAAGGGAAAGAACCAAAAAAATGGCTCTCAAGTAGGCATTTCAAGGCAGCTGAAGCACAAAGGAAGAATGAATGTCACTTCATTGGGAAACAAGTAACAGGAAAACAGGAGGAAAGTGGCAGCACCAGATAGACAGCAAGCAATGTAGAAATTCAGTTTTTAAAAGCAGATGTATCAGTGAAAAAGGCAAAAATCCAAATCATGTTGAATATCAGAGCAAAATTTAGTGTCAATGAATAAAGTATCTTTCTGGCACTAAGGAGATAATTTGGCCTGATAATTTAGTCAAGAGGTAGAGTAGAAAGGACTCTGGAATCAAAAGAACTGGCTTTAAATCCCATTTCTGACATTAAATAGCTTTGTGACCTTTAGGCAAGTCCCCTTTCCTCTGTGGGGATAAATTTCTTCATCCATAAAATGAGGTCTAGCTAGAGGATCTCTAAGGTGCTCCAACTCTAAGTCCTCTGAAATATAGACCAATCAACTGGTAAGTACCTAGATGTGCTTACTAATATGAAGGCAACTGTACAATACAATCACTTTTCCCAAGGAGTTTGCAGTTTAATTGATATAGGATTAGCATGCATTGAATAATTATGAAACAAAACAAAACAATATAGTGAAAAGATAAAATATTCTACACAGATAGGCCTTTTTGTGTAAAAGGCCTGGGGAAAAAAATAGTTGTGGCACCCCTCAACCTGATCCTGTAATGTCCTGCCACAGCTTATGAAAATAATTCAGCTCACTGATAGATATATGACTTCTACAATGCACAATGCACTTGGATTAGACCATTTTTAAAGTCCCTTTCAAGCTCTAAACTTCAATTGTAATTGACAACACCATTACTTTCAGAGAGAGAGATAAGGGATAGATAGATAGATAGATAGATAGATAGATAGATAGATAGATAGATAGATAGATAGATAGATAGATATGTATGTATGTATCTAGATATAGATATAGAGAGATTTGTTTTATTAGGAGTGAGACAGTTTAAAAAAAGGAAAATAGTCCTTAGAACAACAAGACCAGTCCTAGGCAAAATTTTCAAGAAGGAGCTTTGCCATCTTCTTACATCCCCATTTTTCCATTCCATTTCCTGGCTCTCTGTTCCAATACCTTACTCCAAGTATGCGTTTCAGGCCTTTGCTTTCTCTGAGTTTGAAGAAACATAGTCTCTTCTAAAATGTTAATAATGCCTTAACACATCAAAGTTTTTTCAGTGGTGGATTACTGGATCAGAAATCTATGTATCTGTAATTGCATGAGTTTTTACAGTTATAATTATTGATACATGCAGTGACATCTGGTACACAACATTGGCTTGTTTCATGTGAGTTAACTAATTAGACATAACAGGTTCTCAATTAAAACTTTGGGTGACCTGTACCCTTGGGTCTGGTGGGCATCATTCAGCCTGCAGGCAGCATTATACCCTCAGACATTAAGAAGGTATTAATACCTGCTGGAGGTATTTACAAGCTCTCAAGAACCAAAGAAAGGATTTTTTGTGATATGCTCTTCAATCCTAGTACTGGCAATGGGAACAATATTCTCCTACTTCCCCCTCCCCCCCCCCAAATTGTGCCACATGTATGGCCAGCTTACCTGGGTGGACAACAAGGAGCACTGGATTTGAAGTCAGAGAGAGGAATGAAGGAGAGCAGCATGGTTGGGGGTGGTGGGAGAACACAATAGACACAATCTACGTTCTATTCTTGGCTCTTACACTTTCCAGCTTGCTGCCTGAGGGTAAGTCCTGTAATCTTTCTGAGTCTCCATTAGGTTATTTGCAAAATGCAGATCTTAATGCCTTCCTCAAAAAATTGTGGTCAGGAAAACTATTTAAGTTATTTTGTACAGCAGAGGAGGCAGTCACTGTTATTATTAAACCTTAAAGTATTCTACAAATCTGAGTTACATTGTTATTCTAAATCAGAAAACGGTAAACAGCGTAATGAGGTTTCTTGTAGTAAGTCAGTAACATAGGACACCATATTTTTCTAGCAAAATAGTGCGAAAGGACATAATCTAGAATCCCTAACTTCCTTCCAAACTCAGTGCCAATGCTCTGTTCTACAAGAGGTCTTTCTTGACTCCCCACAACTACTAGTGCCTCTCTCCGCGCAAGGTCACCTTTTCTTTATTTTTTTATGTACTTGTTTACATTGTTTCCCTCGATGACCGTCTGGAGCTCTGGGTGAGCTCCTTAAGAATAGGAACTATCTCACTGTTGTATTTGGACCCTCGTCACTTAGCACCATTGCCAAAACAGATAGTGGGCAACTAAGTGACTCGGTGGATAGAGCCCCGGGGGGCCTAGACTAAGAAAGACCAAAGTTCAGCCTCAGACACTTACTGGCTGTGTGACTCTGGGCAAGTCATTTAATCCTGCTTGCCTCAGTTTCCTCTAGCACCAATGAGCTAGAGAAGGAAATGGCAAACCAAGCCAGTATCTTTGCCAAGAAGACCACAAATGGAGTCACAAAGAATCCTACATGGCTAAATACCAACAATAACTCCCCACTGATTGGCTGATGAACTAAAACAGGAGTTCTAAACCTGGGGTCGATCCAGGTTTGTAGGTAAATTTCAGGAGCTCCATGGACTTGAGGTGGAGAGAATTACATCATTATTCCCACTAGCCTCTGACTGAAATTTAGCATTTCCTTCAATTATGAATTTTTTAAAGTTCTGAGGAATCCACAGGCTCCACCAGACTACCAGAGGGATCCATGACACACATAAAAAAAAGGTTTCAAATCCCTGCACTAAAATATCAAGAATAATACTGTTTTTTGTAGAACAAAGTTCTTATCCTTAACTGGGTAATAAGAGGGAATTAAGAGAAATTGCGTAGGTCTCACCTTGAAAAAAAAACTACCCTAAAGTTAGCAAAAATTTCTTAACAGTTAAATTTAACATTCTAGAGGAAAAAAAATAGAAATGTTCTCATGGAAATACCTTTGGGTTTGTTATACAAATTAGCCTTTTGCTTCCAGTCAAATAAAACACCTGTCCCCAAATCCAAAACATTGTTTGTTTGCTTTTTCCCTCATACTGGACCTGAACC